GAGAAACAAAAAGAAAACAAGGAAAATATTGATCTCAAAGACAGGACGTATAGAAACAATTTAAGGATTATTGATCTCCCAGAAGAACAGGACAAGTCTAAAAATCTAAATACCATAATGTAAGAACTTCTGACCACAAAAAATAAAGGACCAATTGAAAGAATCCACAGATCACCTCCAGAAGACATTCAACTTTTTTTTTTACTTAATGATATAGAATGTACCATTATACATTACATTAGATTTAAAGTCAGAGGACCTATGTTCATATCCTGACTCAGCTACTTGCTGTCTGTGTAACCTTGGGCAAACCACTTAACCTCTCTGGGCCTCAGTTTCCTTATCTGTAAAATGAGAATAGACTAGATAACATTTAAGGTCTCTTCTAGCTTTAAATCTATGATCCTACAATTTTATGATACCATGACATAAATGTTGTAGAACTATATCTTATAAACTATCGCCTATAGAACTAAGTTCAAACTCTTTAGCCCGGCCTTCAAGGCCCTCCATAACTACTACAATTTTACCCTCCCAACTTTATCTCTCACTATTCTTCTCCATGTACTCTACGGTCTCAGTAAATGGGAGGCCCTGCAATATTTCCCAACTCTGTGCCACTGTCCATAACTGTTCTTTATTTCTCCATCTGGTAGTGTCCTTTCTTCCTAACTACCTTGTATTTAACTATCTTTACTTAATTTGTATCTATTCTGTATATTCTTATGTAACAGGGCATGTTTAAAGCTTCCTTGCTTTCTCCTGGCTGACCATTTATGCTAGCTAGTGGTCAAGAGCCACACACAATGAAAAGGCATGGATGGATTGCAATCTGTACTGTTTAAAGGAATACTGATCTCAATGGATTATTTAACACAAAGCATCTCCCATAAATTTTGTGCCTAAATATGTACCTAACATAATGCTCTGCAGACAATAGGTGCTTAATAATGTTTGTTGAACGGAATTAAATGATAAGATCCTTAAAGGCAGTAACTATGTCTTCCATTTCTTCATATTTCAAGAATATTCATCACAGAGGCTTGCACACAGTAGGTACTAAATCAATGTCTGTGAGTTCATGTATTGATTGACTGTCCATTCAGGATGTATACAAGAAACATCCCTCCTCAGGGCAGGGCATATGATTATGGCTGCAGGTTGTGGTATAGAAGTAAATATTTTCTGGAACAGAATATATGTATATTTAATACCTGAAATTGTAACCCAGTTTTCCCATTCATTGTTCAAGTTTGGTTTAAGCGGCAATTTTGTCCTCACTTTTTTCAAAGACCATACCTAAGTTTTATTGTAATGTTTCAATGATATCATTACAACCCTGAAGGCCTGCCTATGGTGTTAAAACAGATATCTCAGTGCCACCTGCTGTCTTTTCTAGGGAAAAGAAATCAAGAAGGTCATCAACTGGCTTCATTTAATCTGCTGAACCGGAAATTCAATTGGCATTTTGGTTTTACTTTGCTTGAGTTAATCTTCAGCTTTGTAATTGCTGTATATTTTTTTGTTTATAAATGTTTCTTGCCCATTGGAATTTTATCACTTAAATTTGGTTTGATTATGCCATTAGCAATTTGCCTTTGAGATGAGAACTTTTTGTTTGTATCAGTTTTTCCCTTTGTTCTTTTGTGCTTCATCAAAATGCTGTATTTATTAAAGGCACCCATTGTATAGAATATTTTTGTTCAATGACTTGACTCTTTCTGCCAAGCTCTGTCAATTACAGTCTAGTTTGCTCTGTCCAACTCCCCACTGGACTAATCTCCATTTGGGTGTCTGATTATCAACTCAAATTCAGCATACGCCCAACTATAGTTCATAATAAGTGTTTGTTGAGTAAAGCATTGTGGGTAGGCAAAGAAAGAGTAATGATGTTTGCTTCCAGGAAGGTTACAGTCTAGTTGGAAGACAAGATATGAACATGTAAAAAAAGTGAATAATGCCATAACAGCAAAATCACAGTTCATAGAATTACTGGCCATTTAGTCCAACCCATAAGTAAACAGGAACACCTTTACAAAAGTTCAATACAGCAATGCAAAAGATTCCATTTAAATATATATATAACCGATTGTCAAGAAATAGTACATTAAATGCTATGAGAGTTCAGAAGAGAGTTATCACTGTTGGGTGGAATGATCTGAGAGGATTCCATGAGAAGAACATAATTTCTTTTTCTTTCTTTTTTTTTTTCAATTAGGGCCTTTTGTTTTTACATAATATGCATTTTGTATTATACTTCTTCATCTCTACCCTATTCATTGTAATAAGGAGACAAGGTGGCCCAGTGGATAGAGCACTGGACTTGGAGTTTTCAAATCTAGCCTCAGACACTTATCAGCTGTGTGATCCTGGGCAAGTGATTTAACCTCTGTCTGCCTCCATTTTCTCGTTTGCAACAGGGGATGATAATACAATCTACCTCTCAAACTTGTTCTAAGGATAAAATGAATAGCATTCATAAAGTAGGTTGCAAACTTGAAAGTGCTATGTAAATGCTAGTATTACGAACAAATATATTTTTTAAAAGTTCAGAAAAATTATCCAATAAATCAGCCACATCTGATGTGTTCTAATATCGTACATTGATATCCTCCTGCTTCTATAATGAAAGGAAAGAGACACATTTTCTTAATTTTTCTTTGGTGCTTAAACTTAATCATTATAATTATATAACATTCTATTTTATTTTATTATTTTTTTCATTTTCTATTTTGGACTCATTGTATATATTATTTTTCTGGTTCTGCTTACTTCACTCTGTATCACTTCATGTATCTGTCTTGCCATGCTTCTCTGAATTCTTTATATACAGTTTGTTTAGCCATTCCCCAATTGGTGGACAACTACTTTGTTTCTATTTTGCTGCTGTGAAAAAGGGAGCCATTTTGAATATTTTGGAGTAAATAGGACCTTTCTTTCTGTCTCCACTTGCCTGGAAAATATGACTGTGGGATCTCCAGGCTAAATGGTATAAACACCTTTTTTTTTTTAAAAGCATAATTCCAAATTGCTTCCAGAATAATTGGAGTAATGCATCCTCTGATCCTGTGAACTCAGAACTCAACCAATGTGTCTTAGTGTGCCTGGAACCCCTTCAACATAGCCATCTTTGCCAGTTTGCTGGATATGAAGTGAAGGCTCAGAACAGTTTCAATCTGCATTTCACTTACTATTAGTGGTTTAGAGCAGTCTTTCATATGGTTGTTAATAGTTTGTAATTCTTTTGAGAATAATTGGGTTATATCTTTTAACCACATTTCCATTGGGGAATGTCCTTTGAGGACTTATGTGTTTGATTTCATTTCCTAGATGCTAGATCTTTGTCAGATGTATTTGTAGCAAAGCTTTTCCCTATTCAATAGTTTCCTTTTTATTCTCACTGTATTGATTTGTTAGGGCAAAAGCTTTTCAACTCCACATAATCAAAATTATCTGATTTGTCCTTAGCTTAGGTAAGAATTCTCCCTCTACCCATCATCCATTGTTGTGAAAGATATTTTATAATTAAGCTATTTTTTAAAAAATGTGTAGAATGTGGAGAGGGAGAGATGAGAAAAGTAGGCTCCAGTCACAACTACCATTCTAACAAAAAGGAAATGCTTCAGTAAAGATAAGTGAGATAAGCAATAGACAGTTAAGTCTTGGAACATGTATTTTCTTTTCCCTCCTTTCCTTTCTCTTTCTTCTTTCCTTTTTTCATTTTCTTTGTCCTTTTCTCCCTTCTCTTTTCCTTTCTTCCTCCCTCTTTATTTTTCTTCCTTTTTGTTTTTCCCTCATCTTTCTTCCTCTTCGTTCCTTCCTTCCTTCCTTTCTCTTTTCCTCTCCTTTCTTTGTCCTTCCCTCCTTTCTCTTTATCCTTCCTTCCTTTATTTTTCTTTGTCCTTCCCTCGTTTCTTTTCTTTCCTTCCTTCCTTTTCTTCTTTCCTTCCCTCCCTCCCAACCTTCCCAGTCACAGCCTGATTACAGAGGGCTTTTAAAATGCTAGGTTAAGGGGTTTTTATCTTCTTAAGACAGCAAGGAGTCACTGAAGGTTTTTAATCAGGGAAATGACATAGTCAGGCCTGTGCATTAGGAAGCTTATTTGGGACACTGCTGGGTGAATAAATGACTACGATTCAATGGCAGAGGCAGAGTGGTTGTTATGGAAAGAACATCGGATTTGGAATAAGAAGACTTAAAGGTGTCATTCATTCCACTCACTATTAGACAAGTCACTACATCTCTCAGTCTCACTCTTCTCAACTACGTAAGGCAGTGTGTGGGACTTCGGGGAGGTGACAGGGATGATGATGATGATGATGATAAACATCGTCAGGGCTGTGATAAAGAAGCACTACATGCTATTAAGAGTTTTGTTTTTTAAATTTTAGCTATGAGTCCTAGCTTCCTGAGCTGCAGCTAGTCTGAGGACCTGGATTTTAAACCTCATTTGAATCACCTGTGACCTCTCCGAGCCTCAGTTTCCTCATCTGCAAAATGAGTGTGTTGTTTTAGCTGATCTCTAAAGGCCCTAAATTTTTAATCCTATGATAACAGAAAGGCAGAAACTGTAGCGTAAAGCTTAGAGAACCCGGATCCAGGGTTCCTTCATGAGTGTCTCGGTTACATTACACAGAATTTCCATATATCCAGAACTCTTTCCCAGCCCCAATTTATGTCCAGTAGGTGGCAGCCACCCCTTCTGCTGTCCCGGCAGTAAGCTCCAAGGCCCAGAGTGCGTCAAGGCCGGGGCTGACTGCGGGATGGATGGTCGGCTATGGTAGGATGTGCTGGAGCCTGGGACAGGATTGTGGGCACGCGGCTGCCGGTAGGGATGGAACGCGGCCCGGGACGTTCTGATTCCGCTCCCCTCCTCTCCCAGGAGCCCCGGCTTCTGCAGACGGGGACACTCTGCACCCTGCCCCTTTGGGGCGGGGCGGGCGTGATTGGATCCAGACCCGGGAAGGAAGGAGAGGGAGGAGAGAGGGAAAGCGAGCATGCGCAGAGACCGGGGCGGAGCGGCGTGAGGAGGAGGGAAGAAGGAAGGGAGAAGGGGAGTTCAGAGGCTACTGGAGGCGGGATCGGCTGCAGGGCGCAAGGTAAGCAAGGTAAACCTGGGCTGGTGGCTTTTCTCTTCTCCAGCCCCCTTTGCTGTCTGTCTCAGGGGGCCCGTCCCATCTGCACGCGTGGGTTTGGAGAACTAAGAGCGGCTGCGGAAACTGGCCAATCCTTTTAGAATGCCCTCACCTGGGGATGCAACCCTTGATTCCCTGCTGAAGGACCTAAATGTGGGAGGAGGTGCATTAAGCACAGAGCAGCGACCCCTCGCCTTTCCCCAGCAAACGAAGGGATAGAGATTTGTGCGGGATGGACCATGAGATGATAGCCGGGGTCCCTTCCAGCTCTTCCATTCCGCCGCTGCTTCACACCTGCTTCGGTTTCCAGGGAGGGGACCTCTACCTTACTTTTTTCTTGCAGATCTAGTAGCCCCTCGTGTTTTCTCCTTTACCCCCCCTTTCGGGAGCGGACACGAACCCCCTCAGTATTAACCAGATCTCTTCGGGCTGATTTCCCCAGCCAAGTTGCAACACACCCTAAACTGCGCAGTATTATTGTGGAGAGGGTAAAGGGCGTTTAAAAAAAAAAGACGCCAACAAACTTCTTTCGTAAGGGAATGCGTGTTTTTCTGGGGAAGTGAACCTGTTTGCAGGGGGTAAGGGAATACTTTCTAGCTTCAGGGACAGTTTCCCTTCCATTTAATTTTCCCGTCTAGTATAAATGCAGGATAGCCTCACTTGAAAGCATCGCTGCTGCTCTCTACATCCTGAGTTACGAAAGTGCCGCCACGACATCCCTTCCTTCGGTCACTTGGAACCATATCATCCACTTTCTTCTTAAAAACAGCAGTTCAGGTGTATCCGGATGACCCTTCAGCGGAAAGGGTGGGGGGAGAAAATTGATGCTTCTTGTGGGGTTTTCTGTGCCCAGATAAATAAATAAATGAACAGTAGGTTCAGGGGTCTTGACTTCTTAGTACCTTAGAATAGGGCATTTATGATAATGGCTAGCATTTACAAAGCGATTTAAGATTTGCAGAATGCTGTATATACAAGCTATTAAAGCTTAAAAAGCAGCATTAAGAATTTTGGGGACACCCTGTATTATTCCCATTTGAGCCTCACAACAACTCCAAGGTAGGTGCTATACCCATTTTACAGATGAGGAAACTGAATCAGAGAGATTAAGTGACTTGCTTGCATCACATAACTTCTGTCTAATGTAGGATTTGGACTCAGATATTTCCGACTCCAATTCCATCCCTCTCCCTAAGTCATGTAGCTGTCATTCAGTTCATTTGGGGGCCAGAAAAGCCAAATCCTACTGATCGAGTGAGCTAGGGTTTGGGTAGGCATGTTTTCAGGATTTCTCCAAGTTTAGCTCTCAGATCCAACATTAAAACAGGAACTTCGAGGATGGATCTGGCCATATGAATGTTAATTAAGGAGGAGGATGTTGAAGGTTCCTGATTTCAGTCCTTCTCAGTTTCATCCAGTTAATGTTGGCATATCACTCACCTCTCCAGGGTTCAGTTGCCTGAATAATAATGGCCTTGAATATGCTGAGCTTGACAGTTTTGCTGAGGAATGAGAACATCAGTGTAATTGGTAAATTGATAGTAAGTGATGGCAGAAATCATGTCTTAATTATCTGTATCTACCCAGCTTTTGGACAGTGCTTTCTATATAGTGGGTGCTTAATAAATGACTGTTATGGAAAGAGCCTGTGTGCTGGGGGTCGAGAGACAATCCTAGATTCTAATCCTGTTTCTCTACTAATTCTGTGTACTTGATGATCCCTAATCTCATTAATGATAATAATAATAATATAATAATAATAATAATAATAATAGCTGACATTTATATAGTACTTTAAGGTTTGCAAAGACTGTATCCCCACCACTTAACTGAAATAATTTTTTCCAGTATCATCAATGACTTCTTAATTTGTCAACCCCAGTGGCCTTTTCTCAGTTGTAATTCTTGACCTTTCTGTAGCATTTGACTGCTTCTTTTTTCTGGATTCTCTATTTTTCTCTGAGCCATTGTAATGCTGCTTTATCCTTGTTCTTCTTTATGAAAATCTCTTCTCTGCTTCTTCCTCTTCCCATAGTCCAAATATGAATGTCATACAAAGCTCTCTTCTTGCCCCATTTATCTCTCATCTTTGATGATCTAGTCGGGGGGGGGGGGGAACCTTTGACCTTGAGGCCACATGTGGCACTCTAGGTCCTCAAGTTTGGCCCTTTGACTAAATCCAAACTTCACAGAACAGATCCTCTTAATAAAAGTATTTGTTCTGTAAAACTTGGACTTGGTCAAAAGGTTGAATCCAAAGGGCACAGATTCTCCACCCCTGATCTATTCCATCTATATGGCTTCAGGTATCATCATAATGTAGATAACTCCCAAATCTCTGTCTCTAGGTCCAGTCTCTGGAGGTCTACTTTTGTATTTCCAGTGGCTTGTTGTATATCTTCACCTAGATATTCCACCTGTATATTAAATATAACTAAATCAAAACTCCTTCCCAAAATCTGCCTCGCATCTCAGCTTACCAATTTTTTTTTGGTGGCACCAGTTTTCTTCTAGTGTTCAGGCCCCAAACCCTACAATTGTCTTTGATGTTTTTCCTCTCCCTATCACGCTTTACTGATGAGACTGGCCTTCCTATAGCAGGTAAAAGTTAAGTCTGAGGGAGAACTTGTGAGCACAGCAAGCCTCAAACATGTATGAGAGGCCCATGAAACTTTTCTTTGGTAGAGTTTCTGATAGCTGGAGATGATGGGGCTTGAATTGTGAGCACAGTTATCACTCCTTCAAGACTTTTTGTTTAGAGGGTAGTTATGTTGGAGTTAGAAGAGGCGTGGAAGGGGACAGGGATGAGATTGGGGGGGAGGGGAAAGATGCCCTAAGAGAGCTTCTGTAAAGGTAGATTGGATTGGTGCCTTAATGCAATCAGAGTATTTCAGACTTGGAAGGCCTTTTAATGGAACCTGGAAGTGCGTTCATTGTAGTTTGTCTGTGCCCAGTACTAATGGCCACTTAATCCCCATTTAGGATCTTATGGGTAATAGAGGCAGAAGGAAGGGAAGATGTGGAGAGTCCAGTAAAAGATCCAGCAGCTCTGGCACAGTGAATAGACTGCTGGGCCTGGAGTCAAGAAGAGTCAGTCTTTTTTAGTTCAAACCTGACCTCAGACACTTACTAGCTGTGTGACCCTGGGCAAGTCACTTAACCCTGTTTGCCTCAGTTTCCTCATCTGTAAAATGAGCTGAAGAAGTAAATGGAAAATTACTCCAGTATCTTTGCTAAGAAAACTCCGAATAGGGACACAAAGAGTTGGACACAGTTGAAAAATGACTGAGCAGCAACAGCTGTAACCTAAAGAGTTTTAATTTTTTCAGTTAATATCTTTTGGTTTTATGTCACCTTCACTTCCCAAAACATTCTTCTCATTTCCCTACCCAGAGACCCAACCTTATAACAAAGAATAAAAAAAAATAGAAAAGAGTTCAGCAAAACTAATGTATTAACCAACCTTGATATAATGTGTAGGGTAATCTTCCCTCTTCTGCAAAGATAGCAGGAGGCAAGATGGCATGGAGGGATGCACTCTTATATCTCTTTTGGGGATGCTAGATTTGGTCATTATAATTATACATCATTCAGTTTCTTCTTCCTTCCCTCCTTCCTTTTTCCTCCCTTCCTTCCTCCCTCTCTTCCTTCCTTTCCGTTTACATTGTTACAGTCACTCGTGATTTTCTTGGTTTTGCTAATACTTCATTTTTCGTCGCTCTAAAAGTTCAAACCCAATTTGTCCAGATCAGGGGAAACGTATTTTCCAACTCAGTAACACCCTCTGTTTACCTGGTCCTGAGATTTGTGATACCCTCAACTCTGTAGAAGAACCTGGAAAACCTAAGAGGCCTAGAAGGAAGCAGAGCATCAAAGATGACAGGTGATCGGTTGGTTTGCAGACAAGGATAAAGTAACATCTGTGTTAGCCCATGATGTCCTTCAAAGCCAGCCAAAGCTATGAGGCACTGGGCACCAGAGAAGAAGAAAACAATACTAATAGGGAAGTGGTAGATTAGCAGAAGTAGCAGAGATGAAAAAACCGCTGTGGGTGGTGAGAAGGGACAGCAGACAGCTGAAGCAGCTGTAGGAGAGGAAGTAGAAGAAATATCATTTAGAAGAACGTAACCATTTTGGGGAAACTCGAGATAGGGACCAGCAGTCTTCCATGCTTCCATAGGCCCTTATGGGTATCATTGTGTTAGGGCCCCCCTATAAAATCTGACATTTGCAATGATAGCCTGCAGTCAACAAGGAAAAGTTAAAGTGGCGTTTTTCTGCCAAAGTCCCTGATGGTGCCTCCTTTTGGTAGGTAGGTGGTCTTGGGTTCCCAGAGGCTGTGTGTCAGTAGAACACAAGGTTTGGCAAGCCCTACCAAGCCTCCAGTGCAGCCCTGGAGAAAGACTGTGTGTCCGTCCTCTGAGGACCATTCTAGTCAAGTCTGGAGAGGCTTCTCACCCTAAAGTTGGCCACTGGGTGATCAGTTTTTTGTTTTTGTTTTTGTTTTTCAACTACACTAACTGACAGAGACTTTCTGCCAAGGCATGGATGGGCTTACACACTGATGAAATCATGAATCCTTGAGATATGCTCTGCTTATTAAGGCAGAGGAGTGTGGAATGTATTTTGTAGAGCTTTCTGTAAGAAAGATGTTTAAAGTTTTGACAGTTGACTTATCTGGAATCCTGATTGTCTTGAATACCTCATTCCTGGGTGTTGCCGGATAAGAGAAGTGTCATTTCATGTGTTGTGGGGAGTACGGTGGTAAGGAAAAGAAGATTCGATTGTAAGATTTTGCCAACACTTTTCTTTCTTTTTTTTTTTTAACAGGCTTGAAAAATTGTTGGTTTTATTTTGTGTGCTTATTTTATTTTGTTAATCATTTTTATGTGTCGGATTCATGTTTCCCTGTTTAAAAAATTTTTTTAATAAGTCTTATCTTACTCAGTCCTCTTCATTTTCTCTATTTCTTTAGACGTATAACCATGACTGTTGACTGGATTGGTTTTGGATATGCTAGCATAATAGCATCTGGAGGCTTTTTGGGATATCACCGCAAAGGTAAATTCTAAATTTTAAATCTAAAGATGACTTAGGATTGCAATGATTGCAAGAACAATATGAGAATCTGTGAATAAGACAAAAAAATTTAGAGAGTTCTCAGTTTTAATGTCATTTTTAATACTAAACTTTCTTTAAGTTCCCTACTTATCAGTTAGAGATTGGATTTTTTTTTTCCTACTAAAACTGGTGGGGGCAGTTAGAAGGGGCAGTGGATAGAGCACCAGGCCTGGAGTCAGAAAGATCTGAGTTCAGATTTGGCCTGAGACACTTACTAACTGTGTGATCCTGGGTAAGTCACTTAACTCCTATTTGCCTCACTTCCTTATCTGTATGTAACATGAGAGGACACTGGAGAAGGAAATGGAAAACCACTGTAGTATCTGGCAAGAATGAACAGTTAGACACCACTGAACGACAAGAAGACTGATAGGAAACTTTATGAGTTGATGTTGACATAGCATATTGATGAGGAAAAGTACTTCGGTGCCAAGTTAGTTGCTAGTGTCCAAAAGAAAGAAAAATCCAACTCATTGGAAAATTTGAGGTAGAAGACACCCAGTGTCAGAATTTTATTTTTAACATTCTTTTATAATTATATGAAGAATCATTGTAGGGTAGTAGAGTTGGAGTCTGACTTGGGAGTCAGAAAACCAGGGTTCAAAGCTAGCCTTTGACACTAAGATCTTGGGCAAATTACCTAACTTCTCGGAAGGTCTCAGGTAACTCAAAGACTCAGTTCCTTCACTGATCAGATTCTTGACTTGTGTATCTTGATAGGCATATAATTGAGTGAGACAAATTGGCTTGAAGGAGAGAAATTTATGGGCAAAATGTTTCTTTTCTTATTGCTTCTTACCCTTTTGTAGAAGTGAAAAATCACAGCTTTTGTTTTGTTTTGTTTTTCTGGGAAGTTTTTGTATTTCTAAAGAGTTTTGAGTAAAGACAAGGTAGCCAGAGTTCAATGTAAGAATTTGCTTTTTTAAGAGATCTTTCAGAAGACACGGGGCAGAAAAACCATCTGTACTTCTCCCTTGGAGGCTAAGGGATTAGATCAAAGGACCCATTGCGGCCCCTTTGTGCCCTGTTTAAGTTGATGATCAAAGTTAGTTTTTTTTTCTGTTTTTGGTGCATCTGTTAGAAAAATGAAGAAACCAATGTAACCTCTGTAAATGATTGCACAGATTTTTGAAACTTCATAGATAGTAATCTATTTTGAACTTCAGAGAAATCAAATTCTTTGCCTGGCCTAGTGGATACAATGCTGAACTTAAAAGGAAGGAAAGAAGCATTTATTAATCACCTACTGTGTGCCAAACACTTTATAAATGTGATTTCATTTGATCCTCACAACAACTCTGGCAAGTAGGTGCTATTATTATTCCCATTTTACAGTTGAGGAAACTGAGGTAAACAGGTTAAATGACAGTGTCTAAAGTCACACAGCTATTAAGTTTTTGAGGCTGGATTTGAACTGAGGTCCTCCTGACTCCAGGCCCACATAGATGCTTTTGACTTAGCATCGGGAAGCGACTGGATTTGAATCTTGCTTCAGACACCTGTTAGCTGTGTGACAGACTTAATTTCTCTGACCCTCAGTTTCCCTCCTTCTCCATAAAATTAAGGTGCTAATAGCATCTACCTCACCCAGTTATTGTGAGGCTCACATGAGAAAGTGTATGTGAATTGATTTGCAAAACTTAAATGCCATATAAATGTGAAGTTATCATCACTACTGGATTGCTCGTGAAAATACATATTTTCCCTGGTCAGCAAAGTTTCCAACTTATTTCAATTATAAAACAGTAAACAGACCTGAGGGCAGGTAGGTGGGGTAGTGGATAGAGTGAAAGGCCTGGAGTCAGGAAGACTCATCTTCCTGAGTTCACATCTGGCCTTAGACACATACTAGCTGTGTGACCCTGGGCAAGTCACTTAACCTCTGTTTGCATCAGTTTCCTCATCCGTAAAATGAACTGGAGAAGGAAATGGGAAACCACTCCAGTGTCTTTGCCAAGAAAATCCCAAATGGGGTCATGAAGAGTCAGACACGACTGAAATAATACAACAACAAGAGACCTGAATATTTAACTTTTTTCCCCCTTTCAAGTCAGATTATGAAAACCATTTATTACTGAACTCCTTTCTCTCTTTAAATTCTTTGTTACAAATGAGAGCTCCCTGGGGAAGCTTCATTCACAAATGAACAGGATGTCAGAACAAAAGATGTTAGTAAATATTTATCTTTGAATGATGTTAAGTTGATCTTGTCTGCTTCCGAGGTTCCCTTCTGCAACTAGCACCCAGCTCCCCCAGATTATGCTGTATTTGCTTCATAGGTATTGTGTTTTTACTTACGTGTAAGTAGGCCCATAGAGTATAAGCTTTTTGAGAGGAGGAACTACTTTATTTTTTCCCCTTTGCATCCCCAGTACCTAGCACTGTGCCTGAACCCCTCAAAATGGTGTTCCTCCATCATTCTCAAAGAGGGTGAAGTCTTGACTTGCTCGTAAATGGGATTTAAGTGAGGCAGAGCTATGGAAAGTCATCAGCCTCACTTCCTCCTCCGGAGTCCAGTAGCAAGACATAGGTCAAGATGGCCCAGAATGCAAGAGGGACAATGTGCTAGAAGGATTGACAGATATAGATGATAGAAAGATATGATAAATAGACTGATAGAAAGATGTGATAGAATAGTTGAGTAAATACTTATTGATTGTTTCTTAGCATTACTTTTGAAAGAAAGTCTCTTTTTCTTCAAATATTTTAAATCCTCTACAAAAATCCTATTCTTACGCCTTGGGGTGGTGGGAGAAGGTGACGCCAGTGATTGTCCTGGAACACAGAGCTTTAACAGGCTATGCCATGCTGAATAAAGGGTTTGAGGATGGGACTGGAGACAGATTGTGTGTGTGTGTCATCTGAAGTCTACCAGAAACTGCTTTGGAGGAGTTGTGGTCTGTCGCCAAGGAGAGACAACCCACACCAACACAGCTTTGTGACATAGTGAAATGATGTCCGCATGTGTCATATTTCTTTGATTTGCATTTCTCTTGCTGACCGTCTGCCCTCCTTGTCGTTTTAGGAAGCATTGTGTCTTTGGTTGCCGGTCTTTTCTTTGGCTTGTTGGCAGCTTATGGAGCTTACCGTATCTCCTGGGACCCCCGAGATGTCAAAATGTCACTACGTGAGTATTATAGTAGTCTAGACTGAGAAAAGAAGTGTTAAAAAAAAAAAAAAACCAAGGTCTCTTAGTATGTCTTGCAAATCAGGAAAACAGTTCTGCATGACCAGGAGTCAACATGGCACAGCTGGCTACCAATTAGTATGAGTAATGAATCTCATGAAGCAGTCTCAGGTATTCAAATTTACATCATTCAAAATTGTGATTATCTAAAATATGTTCGTTGGTTCCAGCCCAATGGAAATATGCAGTTCAGATTTGAATAATGTGATCTCTTCGTGGGGATTTGTTGTTCGCACTAATTGAGACCTAACTGAACAATGGGAAAAGCGCAGGCTTTGGTGTCTGAGAACCTGGGTGTAAATCCCAGCTCTGACACTTCATAGCTGGGTAATGTTGGGCGGGTCATCTAAACTCCTTGGGCTTCAGTTTTCTCATGTGAAAAATGAGAGAGTTGGACTAGATAATTTCTGAGATCGCTTCTGGCTCTAGATCTGTGACGCTGACAAGGGGCACTGCCTCTCAATAACCCCCCCCACCCAGCTCTCCAGGTTCAAGTTCAAGGTGATCACTGTGGCATAAGGAGAAAGCACAATGGATTTCAAATCATTGCAAAGGTTTGGGTTCCATCTTCTGTGTGGATCTGGGCCAGTCACCTAGTTTCTCCAAGCCTCAGTTTACTTATTTGTAAAATGGGGATAATATTTGTATCACTTATTTCATTGGACTGTTGTGAAAATGGCTCTTTTGAAAACCTTTGGGGCAGCTAGGTGGTGCAGTGGATAGAACACTGGCCCTGAAGTTAGGAGGACCTAAGTTCAGATTTGGCCTCATACCAAACACTTGACCCTTACTAGCTACGTGACCCTGGGCAAGTCACTTAACCCCAATTGCTTAACCAAAAAAAAGGAAAAAAACCTTCAAAAACTGTAGAAATACAGTCATTATTGTCTTGGGTGTTGGGAGGGTGGGAGGGTACCTGGGGAGAAGGCAGCTTTGAATGCTTTTCATTTTGAATGTCAGCTTTCTCAAGCATAACTTTTGGATTGTGCTGTGCCTTAAATAATCTGAAAAATCATGGGTTGATCGTTTCTAAGTGTTTTCTTGGTATGCTGAGGAGAAGCATAACCACAGACAGAACAATTATGGGCCTTGTCTGGCCCTTTAATCATAGACATCCAATCAGAGAAGAATTGGGAAACCAACTGAATTAATATTATTCTAGTATAGCAATTTGATTGCTATAAAAAGCACCTGAATTTGTCCATGAACTGAAATACAAATCTATATTTTTGGGAGGAGATTGCAATAATGATATGTTTGGGTCTCGGATGGGGAGAAGAGGGGTTGTGAATGGTGTCAGGAGTAAATTAGTGCCAAAAAAAAAAAGCTAAAATATCCCTGCAAGAAGGCAAGGATTCTAAAACATATTTTTTTACATGCATTTAAGCAGCTTGCATCCAAAGGTTTCTGTCATTTACAGGCATGTTATTTGGTAAGTTGTGTTGTTTTTTTCTTGAAAGCTGTTTTTCAAGTATGCCGTTTTAATGCCATTTAATGCATGAAGCCTCCTGTAGATGTGAGTTGCTAAAAGACTGGCCTGCAAAGTGTATAATACCTGGCTCTTGGCCACACTGAATCCTATTAATTAGGCAGCTAAGCTATTAATTTTTCATGCATTAAGTTCTTCCAGGTGTTATGACATTATAAAAGCCAGTTTTCTTTTCTTCCAGGCTTGAATTATTAATTAGAACTTCCTTTTCATGATACACCATTCTCCTTAAAACCCTGTTCTTTTTTTTGGGGGGGTAGGTCAGAGTCCCTTTCATGTTGTGACAAATGTCCCATGAAAAAATTTTAGCACTTTGGTATACTACTCCTGGTTAGCGATTTGAAAATAAGTGTTCTCCTAAGTATTGTGTCTTTGAGGAGTAGAGCCATTCAAAGTTTGGACACAAAAAACTTGCTGTGTCTTATGAGAGGGAGAGTTCTGGACAAATGAGGTGATGCCCATATTTTTTCCTGTGTAACCATAGAATTACTCTGCTGTAACTTCAGCTTATAGCCTGGTTTGTTTTACAGTTACTGCCTTCTTTCTAACCACTTTCATGGGCATAAGGTTCAAGAGATCGAAGAAACTCATGCCAGCAGGGATTGTGGCTGGCCTAAGGTAAGGAAATATCTCTGTCCTTAATTTCCTTTGCTGAGATTCAGAAGGGATAGTTAGGTCTTTGGCAACCAGAAGTTTCTAATTTTTGTAAATAAAGTAATGCTGAAGGTAACAAGGTGCAGTAATGGGCTTTGAAATCAGAATGACCTGGGTTCAAGTGCCACCTTAGTCACATGCTAGCTACATGATCCTGGGCAAATCGCTTGATTTGCATTAGTAGGGGGAGTTTCCATTCTGGGAAATGTATAGATTACTAAATGTAATTTTCATAACAGCCCAGAAGCCTATAAATTAGCATTCACTAAATCATTCTTCTTAGTTTATCAAACTAATTAAATAAGGATCAAGGGGCAGCTAGGTGGCACAGTGGGTAGAATGGGCCTGGATGGTCAGGAAGATTCATCTTCCTGAGTTCAAATCTGGCCTTAGACTCTTATTAGCTGTGTGACCCTGGACAAGTCTCTTAACCCTGTTTACTTCAGTTTTCTCATCTGTAAAATGAGCTGGAGAAGAAAATGCAAACCACTCTAGGATAAAAAAAAAAAAGGATCCATGAAGTCATATATGTAAAAGGCACTTTGCAGACCTAAAGCAATATATGCATGCCAGCTCTTAATATTTCTCTCTTTTTTTTCTTCTTTTCCTTTGTTGTTTTGTTTTATTGCTTCATTCTCGTTGTTCCTCCCATTAGTTCTAGTTGTTCTTTACATCATGCTTCACATGAATGTATATATAGAGCCTATATCAGATTGTATGCTGTCTGGTGGAGAAGGGGAGGGGGAGAAAATTTAAAACTCAAAATCTTATGGAAATGAATGTTGAAAACTGAAAATAAATAAATTAATTATCTAAAAAGAAAAAATAAATTACTGCTTTGAAACATAATTTGGCATTTGTAAATAGTTTACCCCCTTTCTTCCCACATTTTCAATTGACTCTTTTATTTTTCAGATGAATTTTGTTTTTATTTTTCCTTGTTCTGTGAAATAAAGCTTTGGTAGTTGGTATGGCACAGAATAAATAAATTTAGGTAGTAGTGTTATTATTTCACCGTCTTTATTTTGTAAAGATTGTTTTGTGGTTGTAGTCTTGTACTTCCTGTGTTTCTATAGTTATTTTGAATGGAATTCCTCTTTCTGGCTCTTCTTGCTGGGTTTTGATTATGTACAGAAAGGCTTGTGAATTATGTGGTTTATTTTGTGGTCTGCTACTTTGCTGAGGTTATTAATTGTTAAATTAATTTTTAATTATCTTTCTGGGATTCTCTAAGTGAACTATCATGTCATCAATAAAAAGTGATAATTGTTTCCTCTTTGCTTCTGCCTTCCCAAATGTATTTTCTTTGTCTTATTGATGTAGTCAGCATTTATAGAACTATATCATTAGATTGCAAGCTTCTTGAGGGCAGGGGCTATCTCTTGCCTCTTTTTGTATCCCTAGTGCTTAGCACACTGCCTGACACATAGCAGGTATCTAATAAATATTTATAGGTATTGATGTCAAACAATAGTGGCGATAATGACTAAACCCACAGAAGGCATTTGGACAGGATGAGGTCTTGAGGTTTTGTTGAGATTTAGGAGTATAGGGGTGATGGGACCCCAAAAATTACAATACGTAGGTCCTGCCTAAAAGAATTCGACCTAAGCCTTCTTTCAGCCAGAGACAAAGTTTATTAGACTCTTAAGGAATCTGAGCACTGGTGAAACTACTAGCTAGATTGTAAAAATATGGGCAGTGGCTAGATTGTAAGAATCTGAGCAGTTTAATGGAGACAAAATGGACCTTATATACAGAACGACTGTGGGAGGGATCTAGGAGTGGTCATTTAGTCTGCAGGTACTGTGAGGTAATAGAAAGCCAGGGACCTGGACCAAGTGGTGAAGGGAGAGTGGAACCCAGCTAAGATTAAGGGTGGGATGTGGCCGGGGGCCATAGGGAGGTAAGACAATGGAGGGCTAGGCTAGGTTAAAGGTAATTGAGAACTAAGAGATTGGGTGAAGCCACAATGAAAGGCTTGTAGATGAGATTGTAGCCTCAGGTGAATGCCAGAGATTTGGCCACGGGGGGAAAGTCCAGGGTTTTTCCTTTCTGGGGTCCAGATCCCAACCCCATCAGTTTAGGGGTTCTGGAATCCCAAAATCACAACACGCTGGTTCTGGCCGAATGAATTCAACCCAAACCTTCTTTCATCTAGAGACAGGGTTTATTAATGATCAGCCATATTAGCCAGACTCTTAAGAAATCTGAGCACCTGTGAGCTATTAGCTGAATTGTAAACATCTGAGCCTTTGGCTAGACTCTTAAGAATCTGAGCTTCTTAATATTTCTCGATGTGAACATGCATGAACATTTTTCAGAATCATGGATGCTATGGTGAGTGAAATGAAAATGACCAATAATTTTCACAACTGAGGATCGAATTCTTCTACCCTGCTATATTCAGTGGCCAATAACTAAAGCCTAGCTCTTACCTTAGTATCCTACGCTGTAGTTGGCCATTAATAATAAAGATCATAGGCTGATGAGACCTGGGTTCAAGTCTTACATCTGACATATGATGGCAGTGTGACCCTAGATAAATCACTTCACTTCTCAGTGTCCCAGTCCACTTTCTAAAGCTGTAAAATGAGTGGCCCATTTGTATTGGTGGGAGGTGTCTCTAAACCCAGGAATTAAATCACAGATCTTTAACAAAAAAAAGTCATGCAAATATGGCTCTGCATTCTTTCCCTTCACAGTCACAAATGGAAAGAATTTTATGTTGGGAATCACAGAAATTGGTTTAAATCCCACCTGTGATGATTACTAGCAGTGTGACCCCAGTCAACTCAGTTAACTTTCTTGGGCCTCAGTTTCCTCATCTGTAAAATAAGGAGGGGTGGGGTAGACTGGGTGATCTCTAAGGACACTTCCAGCTTTAAATCTGTGCTCTCGTGTATTGTTGTTGTTCAGTCGTTTCAGTCATGTCCAACTCTTTGTGACCCCCTTTGGGTTTGACGTTTCCCTTTCCAGCTAATTTTCCAGATGAGGAAACTGAGGCAGACAGGGTTAAGTGACATGTCCAGGGTCACACACAACAGCTTAGAAGCCTATGCAAGCTTTAAATTAACATTAACTTTTACATTTAATTTTTAATTTAATTAATTAGTAATCAATTAAATTAACATTCATTTTTAGTTTACCAAACTAAATAAGGATGAAGGGTCAGCTAGGTGGCAGTAAGTATCTGAGGCCATACTTTAACCCAGGAAGATGAATCTTCCTGACTCCAGGTCCACCACTCTATCCACTGCACCACCTAGCTGCCCAGGGTCCTATGTATAGCAATTACAAATAGACATCTCTTTGTTCAGTCTATGAATTACCTCCAAATTCTCACTTGAGAAGTCCCATATTTAGCAAGTTGGAGAACTTGGTTGATTGACAGCCACTAGAAGAGGTGTTTGTAAACTTCTCTTGTATCAATGGATGCCTTTGAAAGACTGGGGTAGCCTTATGTATCCCTTATCAGAATGTTTTTAAATGCATTAAATAAATTACAAAGGATTGCAGAGGAAACCAATTATATTGAAATAAAGTTATCAATATATTAAAAACCAAAGCTCACAGACTCCCTGGTTAAGATCCCTTGACTAAAGTAAGGGAAAGCAACATGGCAGAAATAGCATGCCACGTCTTTGATGGGTAGAGAGGGATAATGTGGCGAGTTACCCAGAAGAGGTATGTGGTGATGGGGAGGGGGTGGCAGCCATCCTCCACAGTTAGAGTAAGGAAGAAGGAATGTGGGCAAAGGGCATTTTTAGGGATAGGTCCTTTTTCCCAACTGCCACATCCTGATGAACGTGTTATTGAAAATAATACCACTGGTTACTGACCACTATCATAGAGATTTGAGGTTTTTGGACATTTTAGAAATGCTATTTGATAAGGATGTTCTGAAGTATGTAATCTCCCTCTTTTAGGTATATCTGTAGTTCTAAGCTGAATAGATGAGAAACTGTCTTATTCTTTGAATTTTTTTTTTTTAAGTGAGGCAATTCGGGTTAAGTGCCCAAGGTCACACAGCTAGTGCAGGTCAAGTGTTTGGTCTGAGGCCAGATTTGAACTCAGGTCCTCCTGACTTCAGAGCTGGTGCTCTATCCACTACACCATCTAACTGCCCCCATTCTTTGAAATTTTCAAAGAAGATTCTATAGCATCCCCCCTGCAAAAGAGATCCCATTGTCTCCTTTCTGTTAATTGAGAAAATTGGATAACAGTATCCCCACCAATTATTTGAGTTTGACAGGAAGCAAACTTAGGAGAACCTTTTTTTTAAAATTCATTTTTATTTTTTCTCATTTTCCCCAAAACATTTGGTACCTGGTTTACTGATGGGTATTGGTGAATTCTAGCTCCTGACTGTTCTTGTTATGGAGGTTTAGCATCTGTGTTTCTTGGAGCCCATCCGTTACCACTTTTTAAAAAATCTTATTTTTATTGATATCTTTCCCATTTTTACATCACCTTCATTTCTGAGTATTTCCTTTCCCCTTCCCTACTTACAGAGCCATCCCTTAAGAATTTTTTTTAAGAATTTGCATCTTATTAAAGCCAGCCAACACATTAACTATCTTATATACGAGCAGTATTCCATACCCATAGCCCCGCCTCTGCAGAGAAGGGAGGGTGGTACATTTGCCAGTTCTTCTCCTTGGCCAGGCTTGTTTTTATAATTATAACGGGTTCCATTTTGTTCTTTTAAGAACAAGGGCAGCTAAGTGACAAAGTGGTTAGAGCACTGGGCCCAGGATCAGGAAGACCCAAGTTCAAATCCAGACTCAACTATATGTGTGACCTTGGGCAAATCACTTAACCTCTGTCACTCACCTCAGTTTCCCCAACTGTAAAATGGGGATAAATAATAGCAACTACCTCATAGGGTGGTTGTGAAGATCAAATGAGATAATGTTTGTAAGGTGCTTAGCATAATTACCTTCCCCCTTTTATGAGCACCTTTTGTAAACAAATAGGGGAAACTCAATGTTATAATAACCAAATGATTAAGTATATTTCCATGTAGAAGTCCAGGGATGAGTCTGTTTAAGGTCTTTCTGTAAAACTGCCACACATTCATGTCCCCAGGATACCAAAAAATTAGACTTACTGTTTGGGTGGAGAACCAGGCTTAGAGTTAGAAAGGCCTGGTTTTTAGTCCCACTTCTAACACATCCTGATTTTGTGACCTTGGAGAAGTCACTTAACACCCTGCTCCCTCCCCCTCACTCTGTTAAGATTATAAAGTTACAGAATAGTTACTGATCTTTATTGATGGAGGAAATTCCCTCACTAGGAGGTCTCGATACCTGGGAAATCACAGGTTTGGTCTAAAATAAAATAGATTGGACGAGCAAACAGCTGGGATTTGTCAGTCATAAATATTAAGCCCTTACTATATGCCAGTCATCGTTTTAATTTTTTTAAATTTTTAACATGTTTTTAAAACTTTGGGTTACAAATTTTCTCCCCCCCTCCCTCCTCACCCACCCCCATTGAAAAGGCAAGCATCTTGATAGGGATTATAGATGTGTAGTCATGCAAAACACTTCCATAGTAGTCCTGTTGTGAAAAACTAAATCTATTTCCCTTCGTCTTGTCCTACCCGCCATTTATTCTATTCTCTCTTTTGACCCTGTCTCTCTTCAGAAGTGTTTGCTTCTGATTATCTCCTCCCCCAATCTGCCCTCCTCTCTGTCAACCCCCTGCTCTCTTGTCCCCTTATTTTCCTGCAGGGTAAGATAGATTTCCATACCCCACTGTGTATGTTATTCCCTATTTAAGCCAAATCCTATGAGAATAAGATTCACTCATTCCCTCTCACCTTCCCCCATTTCCCTTCCACTGTAAAAGCCTTTTCTTGTCTGTTTCATGTGAGATAATTCACCCCATTCTACCTCTCCCTTTCTCCTTCTCCCAGTATAATCCTCTCTCACGCCTTAATTTTATTTTCCAGATATCACCCCTTCAACTTCAACTCACGCTGTGCCCTATATATGTAAATGCATATAATTTTTTTCCCTCCCACTACCCTAATACTAACAAAGGACTCATGATTTACAAGTATCATCTTTCCATGCAGGAATGTAAACAGTTCAACCTTAATAAGTCTCTCGTGATTTCTCTTTCCTGTTTACCTTTTCCATGTTTCACTTGAGTCTTGTATTTGAAAGTCAGATTTTCTGTTCAGCTCTGGTCTTTTCCTCAGGAGTGCTTGAAAGTCCCCTGTTTCATTGAATGACCATTTTTTCCCCTGAAGCATTGTACTCAGTTTTGCTGGGTAGGTGATTCTCAGTCATTGTTTCAAGCACTAATGATACAAAGGAGAAGCAGTGCCCTTGAGGGGCTCACATTCTAAAGAAGGAAATAATGTATAAGCAACTATGTACATATGAGATCTATGCAGAGTAAATTGGGGAGAGTCTCAGAGAGAGGGCACCACCATTAAGGGGAACTGGGGAAAGTTTCTTGCAGAAGGTGGGATTTTAGCAGAGGCTTGGAGAGAATTCTGTCCAGGTAGAAAAAATGCTTGGCAAATGGGGGATTTTTGAGGTGGTGTTAACAGCATTCATTCATTCATTCATTCATTCATTCATTCATTCATTCATTCATTCATTCACTAAGTAGCCGCCCGGCACAAAGGACAGCACCAGGTGCTAGGGAAGATAGAGAGGTGACTGAGATTTGGCTTTACATCTAGTAGTGGAGAGGGGGGAATAGGGCATTTACAGTCATGTAGTATTTATTCACTGTACAGTGACTATACTGTCATTCATTAGAATCATAAGATAACAGAGACAGAAGTTATATATAAATTCATAGGAAAAAAAGATCATTTCCTGTTGTTGGATCAAGCCATCTTTCTTGCAAGAGATGGCATTTCCTTGACCTGCTAGCTTTTTTTTTTTTAACAATTTATTTATTTATTTTCAGTTTTCAACATTCACTTTCATAAGATTTTGAGTTTTCAATTTTCTCCCCGTCCCTGTCATCATCCTTCCCCAAGATGGTGTGCAGTCTGACACGGTTTCTGCTTATACATTCACATTACGCATATTTTCACATTAGTCATGATGTCAAGAAGAATTAGAACCAGTGGGAAGAACCACTAGAAAGAAGAATGAAAAGAAAACAACAAAAGAAAAGGAGAGCGAATAGCATGCTCTGTCTGCATTCAGACGCCAGAGTTCTTTTTCTGGATGTAGATAGTGTTTTCCATCGTGAGGTTTTGGAGATGTCTTAGATCCTTGCATTGCTGAGAAGAGCTCAGTTATCAAAGTTAGTCATTGCACAGTGTGGCTGTTAACTGTGTACAGCATTCTCCTGGTTCTGCTCACTTCACTCAGCATCAGTCCATATAAGTCTTTCCAGGTTTTTCTGAAGTCTACCTGCTCATCATTTCTTATAGCACAATAGTATTCCCTTACATTCATATAACACAACTCATTCAGCCATTCCCCAATTGATGGGCATCCCCTTAATTTCTAATTTTTTGCTGCCGCACGAAGAACTGCTGTAAATATTTTTGTACATGTGGGTCCTTTTCCCGTTTTTATGATCTATTTGGGATACAGACCTAGAAGTGGTATTGCTGGGTCAAAGAGTATGCACAATTTTATAGCCCTTTGGGCATAGTTCCAGATTGCTGTGTAGAATGATTGGATCAGTTCACAACTGCACCAGCAATGCATTAGTGTTCCAGTTTTCCCACATCTTCTCCAACATTTATCATTTTCCTGTTTTATCATGTTAGCCAATCTGATAGGTGTGATGTGGTACCTCAGAGTTGTTTTGATTTGCATTTCTCTAATCAGTAGTGATTTAGAGCATTTTTTCATGTGACGAAAGATAGCTTTAATTTCTTCTTCTGAAAACTGCCTCCTCATATCCTTTGACCATTTATCAACTGGGAAGACCTGCTAGCTTTAAATCCTTGACAGCTTATATTTCTTCCTAAATCTTGAAACCGTAATCTCTTTAAATTCCTATAAGATTTTCCATGCCAGTATGCTAATGAAGTCTGAGTTCTTCCATGCCTGGGAAACCTGATTTCTCCAATATAAGTCCATCAGTCAGTTAGTTTACAATCAGCAAATACAGGCAAAATTTCCCTGCCGTCAAGGAGCTTATATTGTAATGAGGGTGACAACATGCAAACAGCTTTGTACCTATATTATAGGCCTAATTATGTCTAATTTATTCTGTAGGAATCTTGTTTGTATTCTATCTAGTACAGTATACTATAATAGTATATTGTACAATCACATATATATATACATATATACACATACATATATGTATACATACTTCCAACTTACTATATATCACAATATGCATATACATGCATATGTGCATATATGTACATATCATGCACACATGTGTTTGTATGTATAAATTCAGGCAGTTACGTGGCAAAGTAGATAGTGTTGAGGTAGAGTCAGGAAGACTTATCTTACAGATTTCAGATCTGGCCTAGACACTTACTAACTGTGTAACCCTAGACAAGTCCCTTAACCCTGTTTGCCTCAAGTTTCCTTACCTGTAAAATGAGCTGGAGAAGGAAATGGCAAACCATTCTAATATCTTTACCAAGAAAACCACAAATGGGGTCATGAAGAGTCAGACATAACTGAAAAAAAATGAATATGTGTGTATATGTATATATCCTGTATTATATATAACCCACATATATAATATAGCATATACTACAAGGACATTATATATCACACACACACACACACACACATATAGCTAGCATTTACATAGTACTTTAAGATTTGCTAAACCTTTTACAAATATTATCTTCTGTATCAGGCCTGGCACCCTGTCCACTGTGCCGTCTGGTTGCCTGTGGACTGACTTTTTTGTCTTTACGTTTTGTATCATTTATTTGCACTTATATTGGATTTCTTTTCTTTTAAAACAGCCTCTTGATGATTTTGAGACTCGTCTTGTTGCTCACATGAGAATCCCCAGCTACCAAGGTCTTCATTCTCATCCTTCTACCACAGCAGACTAAATATGCTCTTTGTACCTGAAAGATTAAGTTTCAACAAGAAATATCAAGCATCTTTAAGGAAAAAGATAACAACTAACAAACTGACACTTCTCATATTAGCATTAGTTTACAACATTTTTTTTTGAACCAAAAAAGTTTTCAGCTTTTTCCTAGTTGATAATCATTTTTCCCCTCCTTATATATTTATCACTCTAGAAGGTGCAAAGTCGTTGTACACCTTTGTCAATTTTAAAAGTCTTTTATATTTGTTTACTGAAAATTCCAAACACTGAGTTACCGAACAAAAGTTTACATGACAATAAAACTTGTCAGTTAATACGATGCCTTATGTGTGGTTTGACTAAAATACTAACCGATTGTCCTAGTTTCTGTTTGTCTTACAAGCTGTGCAGGAAATACTTGTGTCCTGAATTTTAAATTTTATTCCACCCTCTGCAGACACTGGATGTAGGAGCAGAGTGTGACTAATATTCAAATAAAAGTTCTTCTATTTTAAATCTGTTTCTTATGTCATCATTTTGTGAGATATATGTTTTAATTTAATTTATGAGAGCACTTTGGTTAAACGAGAAAAATAATAACTGTGCCTAATATGCAATAAAGAGCAGCTAGGTGACGAAGTGGATAGAGTGCTGGGCCTAAAGTCAGGAAGATTCATCTTCCAGAGTTCACATCTGGCCTCAGATCCTTATTAGCTGTGTGACCCTGGGCAAGTCACTTAACCCTCTTTCCCTCAATTTCCTCATCTGTCAAATGAGCTGGAGAAGGAAATGGAGAACCACTCCAGTATCTTTGCCAAGAAAACCCCCAATGGGGTCAGGAAGGGTCAGACACAACTGAAATGACTGAACAGCCACATCACATACACTACAACATTTTATCCTCCTGTGAGGGGGATATTATCCTTTCCATTTTACAGAGGAGAAAAATGATGAGGCTGAGAAGCCTAAGAAATGAGCTAGTGTCACAGATCTATAGTGTCCGAGACAGAAATTAAACCCCCAAACTTCAAATCCAATGTTCTATCAGGCAATGCTGAATATTTAAGCCAAAAGTTTCTCCATTTCTTTAAAAGCCATTTTTCTGGGAATCAATAAAGATGGAGAAAAGTGACCTTTCTTTAGTTTCTTTTTTATCGTGGGATATAAAGATCACCTTAAATGTCAGATGCTGCCTTGTGAGTGTACTTGGCCAGGGTCAGGAGAGCTTGGGCCTATGCCTGGCTTTGCTCCTAACCAGCTGTGTGACCTTGGGGCAGCTATACTTCCTCTCTCAGTCTTGATTTCCTAATCTGTAAAACAAAGGGCGTTGGGACGAAGTCATCTTTAAGACCCTTGACATCTCTGATATTCTTTGATGCTAAGCAAGTCTCCTGTAAAAGAAGAAAAGCTTTTTTGTTCATTTGGGTATAGATATCATCTCTTTTGAGTTTTGAGAGGCCTTTGATTCTGTTGTACATTGTATAGACTTTACTAATGGATAGAGCACTGGGTCTGGAGTCAGAAGGGCCTGAGTTCAAATCTGGCTCAGACACTAGCTGTGTGATCCTGGACAACCCTGATTGCCTCGGCTTCCTCATCTGTAAAATCAACTGGAGAAGGAAACGGCAAACCAGTCTATATGGGGTCATAAAGAGTCAGACACGACTGAAATGACTGAACAACAAAACCCCCCCAAATTGCAAAATTTTTATGTAAACTGTATTTTTTACCTTAGGAGCACAATTGATTTTAAGGTAGTAGGTAGGTAGGTAGGTATTCAGTCAGTGGTTAAATATAGTATGTAACTGAAAGAGATCAGGTCTTGGAATCAGGATTTAAATCCCTAGTTCTGATATTTGATCTTGAGTCACTGAAATCTCATTTTCCTCCTCAGTATAATCAGGGGATTGGAAAAGATAACCACTAACGCCTCCTCCAAGTCAACTAAACAAGCATTTATTAAGTGCTTACTGTGTGCCAGGAATTGTACTAAGCCTCCATCTCTAAACCCTATGATTCTCCAAAACAGGGATTCTTAACCTTTTTTTTGTACCCTGGATCCCTTTGGTGTCTTGTGAAGCCAACAGATTCCATCTCAGAATGATTTTTTTTTAAAAAAATTCATAATTGAAAGAATGCTGAATTTCAGTTAAAAGTTAGGGGACATAAAAATTTAATGTTTTTTCCCATCCAAGTTCATGAACCCCCCTGAATTCTATCTACAAACCCCTTGGGGATCCATGGATGCCAGCTTAAGAACCTATGATCTAGAACCTAAAAAAAGGTTTTTGGTTTGCATAAAAAATTGCTGCAAATCCGCGTCTTTAGTGACTTTATGTTTTTGGCAAAGGAACATTAAATGTTTGGAAAAATTCAACTTAAGCTGATGAAAGCTAGGGGGGAATTCTACAAGCAGCATGTTTGCAAAGAATACTATGGTCGAGTGAAAAGAGTGTTGAATTAGGAGTCAGAAGTCCTGGGTTCAAAAACCAGTTCTGCCACTTATGTGTAGGTTGCTTAAACCTCTCTGGGGACTCAGTTTCCTCATCTGCAAAATGAGGGGGTTGGACTAAATGATCTCAGAGGTCTCTTCTACATCAATGATCATGAACTAAATTCATGAGTTTTACACAGCAAAGAGCTGGAGATATTTTGTAGGACTGTTTTGAGATGACAAAAACGAATTGGGTTTATGACACCAAAAGTCACCAAATGTGCTTTCCCATTTTGTGTTATAGAGTTTTTAAGTAATACATGAAAGGTTCCAGCAGTCCCATTCCTGCTAGGCTGTTTCCATATCAGATGACAAATAATACAATGGAAAAGCACATTGGATCTGTAGTCAGAGGGTTCAAATCCCATTTACTACCCGTATGACCCTGCTCAAATCATTTAACCCATCTGGGCCTCAGTATCCTCATTTGTAAAATAAGAGAGTTGGACTAGATGGCCTTGCAGATCCCTTCTAGCTACATGGTGCAGTGGATAGAGAGCTGGGCCTGAGTTAAAGTCCAGCCTCAGACTCTTAGCAGTATGGCCCTGGGCAAGTCACTTAAACTCTGTTTGCCTGTTTTCTCATCTGGAAAATGGGGATAATAGTACCTACTTCTCAGGATTGGTATAGGGACCAAATGAACTAATATTTGTGAAGCACTTAACATAGTGCCTGGTACGTGTTGTTTAGTAATTTCAGTTGTGTTCGACTCTTTGCGACCCCAATTTGTGTTTGTTGGCAAAGACACTAGACTGGTTTGCTATTTTCTTCTCCAGCTCGTTTTATAGATGACGAAACTGAGCAAACAGGGTGAAGTGACTTGCCCGGGGTCATACAACTAGTGTCTGAGGCCTGATTTGAACTCAGGAAGATGAATCTTCCTGACTTCAGGTCCGGTACTTGATATCAACCATGCCACCTACCTGCCCCATGGAACATAGGCACTCTAGAGATGTTAGCTTTTTATCATTATCTTATATACATGAACATCTCTCAGTGCACAGGGCTAATAATACATATCAAAGTTGTAAGATCTGAGATGTTTTCCTTTAGTGTCCTCAGCCCCCCTTTTCTGTTCTCTTGGTATACCTCTTCCTCAAGTGGAGGCAACAGAGGTTACGTAGGATGGTGGTGATCAGTGAAATTAGTTGAATTTTTTTTGGACGCCTATTGGGTGCTCCTTAATTTACACTTTGGGGGCCTTAGAAGAAATAGCGATCATGGTCCCTAGTTCCATAGAGTTGGGGACAGCAAGCACCTTCAGGCTGGTGTTTGAGCTAACACACACAACCATGAGTATTCCAGCCAATGTGGTGCCTGACATAAGTGGCAGTGCTGGATTTTGGAGACTTTTTGTTGGAATTTTTTAATGGCTGGAGTGATTAGGGAGAGCTTTGTGGCAGCCTTGAGGAAGACCATTAAGGACAGGTTGGATCCACTCAGGTATAGGCTGGACTGGGTGACTTACGAGAGAATCTGCTTGACCAGCCCTCTCCTTCTAGGCCCTTCCCAGACTCATCTTCTAGCTGGGTTTGTTGTTCAGTTGTTTTTCAATCATGTCTGACTCTTCATGATCACTTTTGGGGTTTACTTGGCAAAGATCCTACAGTAGTTTGCCATTTTCTTCTGCAGCTCATTTTACAGATGAGGAAACTGAGGCAAATAAGGTTAAGTGACTTGCCCAGGGTCACACACCTAGTAAGTGTCTGAGGTGGAATTTGAACTGAGGTCTTCCTGACTGTAGCCCTATCCACTGTGCCACCTAACTGCACCACAGTAGGCAGCTTAGTAAATAGTAAGCACTTAATAAATGCTTGTTAGTTATAAGCTCATTGTGGGTAAGGACTGTCTTTTGCCTCCTTTTGTATCCCCACAATTTAACATAGTAGTGCCTGGCATACAGTAGACACTTAATAAATGCTCATTCCCTTCCTCCTCTCCTTCCTACCTGTATCTCACCTAGGCTAGATGTGCAGCAGCTCCTCATGAGGCAAATTCTGCTGATCAGTCCTAAAGCTTTGACCTACAGTGCTGCTGAGCCCCCTCACTCTTTTACACACTCTTTCACCCTGCCCAATCCCAAGGCACTAATATTTCTTCCTTTAAAAATGCTTGATTTATGGTCATTATTTTTCTTTTTACATCACCCCACTTTCTTTGTCCTCTCCACTACAATCCCCTCTTAGAGCAAAGAAGTGTACTCAAGTGAAACTAATCAAACTGGTTATATGTTAAACTTTAGAGGCAGGATGAACATCCCATAGATCCCTGGGCCCAGAGTCAGGGATACCTATGTTTAAATTCCATCTCTGGCACTGACTGGCTGTGTGACCCTGGGCAAGTCACCTAAGCTCTTTAGCAATTGTACTGGGCTTTTTATTTTTCTATTGTCATGGATTGAGATCTGCACTGATTGAGTGAATCACCACACTGAGGAAATCACAGCACCTTTGTATTTTCAAGCATTTAAAACTTAAAGAGAAAAATGAATTTTTTTTTTGAAACTGGCCTCTGACTTCCGCTTCCGGGAGCCAAGATGGCAGAGTGAAAAGGTAGTCATTCTCACTCTCCCCTATCAAACTCTGAAAACCCAGAAAATATCACCCCAGAAAAAAAAAACCCTGGAACACCTGAACTAGAAGAAAGACTGGGAGCAGCAGTGCAGCAGCCCAGCAAACAGGTCTCCCAGCGCCTCAGCAAAAATAAGGGAG